AACATTAATGTACAGGTTGCTGTGAGAGCATAAGTTTTAATTTCTCTGGGATTGCTGAAGAGTACATTTGCAGGGTCATATGGTAAACACATGTTTAGTTTTGTAAGAAACTGCTGTACTCTTTTCCTGAGAGACCCTTGCCATTTTATATTTGCACCAGCAATTCTCCACATGCTCATCAGCATTTGATGTTACCACTAACTTTTATTTTAGGCATTCTGGTAGGTGTATAGTGATATCACATTGTGGTTTTAGTTTGCATTTTCTTAATGGCTAATGATGTGTTGAACATCTTTTCATGTGCTTATTTGCCATCTGTGTGTCTTCTTTGGTAAAATGTCCATGTCTTTTGCCCGTTTTCTAATTAGAGTCTTGGTTTTTTGGGGTTTTTTGGGTTTTTTTTTTTTTTTGCTGTTGAATTTTGAGAGTTCTTTATATATATACTGTACATATAAGACCTTTATTTTTTATGTTTGCAAATATTTTCTCCCAGTCCGTGGCTTTTCTTTTCATACTCTTTACAGGATCTTTGGCAGAGCAAGATTTTTACTTTGATGAAGTTCTGTTTATCAGTATTTCCTTTTATGGGCCATGCCTTTGGTGTTATATCCTAAAATGATTTTGCCTTTTTCACACCTTGCCATATAAAAAACATTAAAACATAAGCTTCTTTTTGGCATCCAGACAAGTGAACTTAGAGAAAATAGATTGAAACTAAAAGGAAATAAAACCTTGAGTCTACTAAATTTGTATAGTATTAAGTTAAAATATACATTACAGTGTTTTAGAGCTGTGGTGGTATGTGTTTTAAATTACAGATTACTATATATCAGGATTGTGCTGTGCGTTTTATTTCAAAAACTCTACAGTGTAGATATTCATTTACACACATGCGTATGTGTGTGAACCTATATATGTAATTATTCCTATTTGACAGTCGAAGAAACTGAGATTTAGGGCTGGCCCGGTGGCGCACTGCTATAGTGCGCCGCTTGGGAAGCGCGGTGGCGCTCCCGCCGAGGGTTCGAATCCCACATACAGACCGGCCGCTCACTGGCTGAGTGAGGGGCGGGAGCAACACCGAGGGTTGCGATCCCGTGGCCGGTCCTGGTCCGGTATGGGCGTGACACTGAGGGTTGCGATCCGTTGCTGGTCACGAAAAAAGAATTCCTATTTGACAGTCGAAGAAACTGAGATTTAGGGCTGGCCCGGTGGCGCACTGCTATAGTGCGCCGCTTGGGAAGCGCGGTGGCGCTCCCGCCGAGGGTTCGAATCCCACATACAGACCGGCCGCTCACTGGCTGAGTGAGGGGCGGGAGCAACACCGAGGGTTGCGATCCCGTGGCCGGTCCTGGTCCGGTATGGGCGTGACACTGAGGGTTGCGATCCGTTGCTGGTCACGAAAAAAGACAAAAAAAGGGGAAAAAAAAAAAAAAAAAAAAAGAAACTGAGATTTAGGGAAGGTAGGTAATTGTGCCCATAATAAATGATGGAACCGGGACTTGAAGCGAGTTCTTTCTGGCTTCAAAGCCTGTATTCTGTAATAACTGCCTTCATTTTTTGTTGCAGAATATATCTTACATAACTCATAAGGCTTGATCTTAGTTTGTGGTATGGTTGTCCTATTACTCATAAAGTCAGTCCAAACATTGTCTGATTTTTCAACTTGTTATAGTATCATTTCTTGTTTTATCAACATTATTGTTAATATTGGTTAACCTATATGGCTATACTTGAAATAGACTTTTTCTTCGCATTTTATTACTTGAATGTAAATTTGAAATGTCATGTTTAGCCAGCAATTTACACTATAGCTGTAATGCACATCATTTATAAGAATTTAAGTTTTGCTGTTGAACTGTTTAAGAACATATGTAAGACATATTAAAATTTTACAAATATAGCTTAAATTTTTACAAATTTGGTCCTTCTGCTTTTGTTTACTATATTGCCAAAGTAAATCAACAATATATCTTTTCTATATAGTAAGAAGATATTGTTGTATTGGTGAAGGCGCATGAGTAGAGGAGGGATGGGAAGCAGCCAGCCAGTAGCACCTCAATTTTATATGCCATTTGGTGTGTTTAAGAAATGAGTAACATGTATTTGTAAAAGTAACAAGGACAGTTTCAAAGATGACTTTACTAAGTCATGTTATTTCTCATGAGAGAGTAATATTGTTTCTTGGAAATCACTGAAATAGTTTGCTTGTTTACAAATATGTAGCTAGATCAAGAATTGTGCTATATTCCTGTTGTAGGCTTTCCTGTCAACCTGAGATTCAGATTGCCCTGGATATTATTAGTGTTGTCTGGTTTCACATATAGTAAATCAAGTTTACAGAATTCATATTTTTGGAGCTTTTTGTATATTTTTTAAGTTCTTGCTATGTATGTTCAAAAGGAAAATAGCTTTTAGATACTTAGTATAATTCAGTCTTCTGCTGAGCTCTAACATAGAATGAGGTCTTTTGAGAAATTTGCATGAATCTACCCTCCATTCCCATTGTCCTTCAGAACCTCTGTAGAGCACTTGAATGCATGTTCTGTCTGTGGAGGGTTTTTGCTTTAAGGGTAATTGCCTTAGTCCTTCCAGATGCTATAACAAAATACTTTAGACTGAGTAATTTATGAGCAACAGAAATTTATTTCTCACAGTTCTGGAAGCTGGGAAGTCCAAGATCAAGGCACTGCCAGAGTCGGTATCTGTTGAGACCTTGCTTTCTGCTTCAAAGTTGGCACCTTTGTTGCTTTGTCCTCACATGGTAGAAAAGGCAAAAAGGCGAACACTGCACCCTCAACATGGGAGGAGGGGAAAAGGGCTTATAAACTCCCTCAGGCCTCTTTTGTAAGGGCATGAATCCCATTCATGAGGACTCTGCAGTCATGACCTAATGGCCCCCCAAAGGTCCTACTTAATACCACCATGATGGGGATTAGGTTTCAACATGAATTTTGGAGGGACACAAACATTCAAACCATAGCAGTAACTAACTCCCCAAATTGAGTATTTTCTATAATCCTTGTTGACTTACTCAGGTACTTAAATTGCTATTTGCTAGCATACTAAATTTTTAAGAACAAGAAGATCATATTTTTGAGCAGAAAATGTTCAACAGATTTTTGGTCAGGGTATTTGGGGTCTTTGTCTTTTAAAATAAGGTTTTCTCTATATAAGAAATAGCATTTTGCTGAGAGTTTTCTCATTTACCATTCTATAGAATTTAGTTATAATATGTTGATAGTACTGGGGCTTTCTCACCACTAAGCAAATACTTCATTATAAAATACTTCATGTATAATGAAGGTTATACATTTATAATATAATTGCTCAGGCTTAGGCAGAGTGGAAAAAAGAGAGATACAGAGAAATAACAGGATGTTTTCCCAATAGTTAGGTTAGAGGATATTTTCTCTTTTTTTTATGTAACTAATACCACTTGATCTTTCCTGTTAGACATGTTGTTTTCAGGTAGTTTTTTTAGAACTAAGCTACCTCACAATTCTGTCACTAATTAGGGTATGAATGAGATCTCCAACTTCTTGAAAAGATGTCTTTGACTTTGCTGATTTCAGGTCAGACACAGAAGGTACATTTTGACTTTTTTCTTTAAGTTGGGAGTACAGTCCGGCCCCTCCTTTTGCACTTCCTCAGTCCCAGTTGTCATCACATAGGCTTGCTTTATTCAGTCTGCCTCTCACCAGTCATCCTGATTTTACCTCTTACCCAAGTCATCATACACAGTACTGCTTTCCATTAGCCTTCAGAAAAAGCCTCTTTCATCACGTCACTTCCTTTGCTAAAAAGTCTTAAAAGCCTCTGGAAGGTCTGGGAGATAGAAAGCACTAAGCGGGTGGTGGGTATTTTAATTTATTATTATGGTCCTCTTTCATTTCTTTCTTCTCTGAGCTCCCCAACCCTTTTTATCTTTGCATAGCATGGTTAATCACTTAATTGTGCATATTATTGTTCTTGGTTTCAATTTGTGTGAAAAAATGTGAGCACCTTAAATTGAAAGATATCAATTATTGAAAAAAAAAAATCCCTAAAGAGTTCAATTAGTAAAGTGAATTGAATTCTATTCATTGCATATTAATGATCAAGATTTTAGATATTCTTCTACAGTTTATTTTCATACTTGCCAAAGGCACTCAACAATATTATTGGAATACCATTTTTAACATTTATTATGCATCCACTGAATACAGAATATAGAGCTGGGAAAATAGCTCACGTATTGACACATGCTAGTAACAATTTTTGTCAGAGGAAATTACTACAACTAGTATTTTGGAAATTATCAAACCTTCGGGAAAGTTAAAATAATAAAACTGCTAAGACCATACTCTACCTAGATTCACCAGTAGTTAATATTTTTCCATATTTGCACTCTCTTTCCGCGTACTCACACACTTTTTAAAAATCATTTGAAGGTAAGTTTTAGACATCATGGCACTTTGTCCCTAAGTACTTGAGCATGAATATCTTAAAAATAAGGATTGTCCTTAGAACCATTATCATATCTAAGAAATTTGACATTAATTCAATAATATTATCAAATATCCATTTCATATTTTTCCAGTTATCCCAAAACTGTCTTTTAATTTTCCTTCTTCAATTCACTATTTAGTCAGGGTTTATTTTTTGTATTTGGTTATGTCTTGTCAGTCTCTTTTAGAGATAATGACAAAATACTTTTGTCAGTATCTTTTTATTTTGTATTGTTTTATTTCGTTTTTTTTAATGCTTTTAGCTTTTTTGAAGAGTCCTGGCTAGTTGTCTTTAGAATGCCCCACATTCTGTTTCCTGAGGATTAGATTTACCTGAATTTATCATTTTAAACATTTTTCTCAATGATGCCACATCTCTGATGTTATGTACTTCTGATTACAACTTATCAGAAGGCACCTAATGCCAACATAAAATTTATGATCTATTGATTTGTAATTAGCAGCAACAAAGACTTAATTACTTGAATTATTTTTTCATTTTTCAAATAGACGACTACTGAACGACCTTTCATTCAGAAGCTGTTTCGTCCTGTGGCTGCAGAAGGACAGTTGCATACTCTAGGAGATCTCCTCAAAGAAGTTTGTCCTTCTGCAATTGCACCTGAAGGTAATATAATCAGTAACATTAAGACATTTCTTTCATTTCCTGTTCTAAACCCTTTCTTACTGTGGTAAAATAAGCATTCTGCATTTATAAATAATAATTACTGGTTATTTCAGGAAGATATTTTTATTATCCTATGGGGAAAAGTCTTTTGAAACAGAAGTACTTAATATTTAATATTTTATAAATTAGTGATACTAACAAAATAAAGAATTGACTCTCTTTAGCAAAATAAAGTACACTGTTTTTAAATTACCCTCTTACCACATCTCTGCTGCTCTGGGTCTTTAATTTGTGACTTCAGTTCTGGTAAATATTATTTTTAATCTCCCATTTTGTTTCTTAATTATAATGAAGTCAGAGATGTTTTTAAAAAAAGATCTTATCTTTGACATTTGAAATTTCAAAATACTGAATAATGGATAAGTATTTTATCTGAATTTTCTACTATTTTTAACTCAACATTGGTCTCTTGATATTTCACAAGTCTGATCAAGAACTTGTCCTGTTTTATGGTCCTCATTTTGTAACTTAGGTTAAAGTTGTTTTCTTGTAGACAAAGGAAAAAATACAAAAATTGCTGAATTCCATTGTTCTTCATTGTAACATAAGGAACCCTAAGAAAATGCAGAAAACAATGAAAGAAAAAAGTGCTTATAATCCCTTAGTTCACAAATACCACTGTTCACACACACACACACACACACACACACACACACACACACACACACACATTTGAATACTTGAGAGAGATATAATATCCTGCTGCTTTTTTTCACCTAATCATTGCTGTATTATTGAATAACTTGTAATCCCAGCCTTATATTTATATATTTTGTTTATATGTTTCTATATTCTGGGTTACTAATCTATAGGGAAAATTTTCAGTGCATGTTACTGTGTTCATTGATACATTGCATAGACTTGTATTTATTATGTATAGAAAATTTTCAAAACTTTCTACTTTTATCCATGAAGGAAAGAGGTAAGGCATTAATAAATATGAAGGTAATACTTTAATAAATAATGCTAGTTTTTTTAACATATTCTAAACTGGGGGATTGAAGGGTTACTTACATAATTCGTAACTATACCTCACAGTTCAAGAAGTATGTAGAATCTAATGAAATGGTGTGCCCAGGAATCAGAATTGGAAACAGTGAGATTGGGGAGGAATGTTGATATGCCAGCCTAATTGATTAAACAAAGAACATGGAGTTCAAAATATGTGTCATTCAATTTGTGGCTGTAACAATTTTCTTTAGTCAAGTTATGCTTGCCTATACTGACATTCCTGTGTGTATCTAGCCCTTCTAAAATGAGTAAAGGCTCAATAGGAAGGGAAAAGAGAGACATCTAAAATGCCATCAGAACTAGTACCAGAAAGGATTGAAAGAACAGACATTGACCATTGATCGCTACCCAAAATTACTGAAATCATACTGGATTCATTCATTTTAAGAGGTTATAAATATATTTTTATAAAGTCTTAATATATCATTTATCTTCACTGAACTTTACCAGACTATACAGTCAAGGTTTCTGATGGTGACTTACACACATCCTCCTATCTCTAGTTTGCTGAACATTCCAATTACTGAATTCTTTCTTTGTTATCATTATTACCCTTAAACATTTTTATGATCATTAAATCATGGAGTTATTAACATTTTGGTTATAATACTGTCTTAGAATCCTAATCCACCCTGACTGCTGTTTAATTTTTATTTTCATTAAGAGTTTTAGTTAAATAATTTTTTTGACAATTCAGTGGTTTTTAGTCAATCTGTAGAGCTGTGCAATGATCACCACAATCTGGTTGCAGAACACCACCTCAGAGTGCTCCCTTGTACTTACTTGCAGCCAATCTCTACTCCCCCTGCCAGCCATAAACAATCACTGGTCTGCTTTCTGACTCTATAATTTGCCTTTTTTGGATATTTCACATAAGTGGAATCATACAATATGTAGTCTTTTAGAACTGATTTTTTTTACTTAGTGTAATGTTTTTGAGTTTCATCCATATTGTAGCATCAGTATTTTTTTTCCTTTTTATTGGTGAATAATATTCCATTGCATGGATATATCCCATTTTGCATATTCGTTTACCAGTTAACAGGCATTTGGATTGTTTCCAGCTTTTTGTTTTTATGAACAATACTGCTGTGAGCATTCACATGGAGATCTTTGTGTAGACATGTATTTTCATTTTTCTTGGGTAGATTCCTGGGAGTGGAATGACTGAGTCATATAGAATGTTTATGTTTAATTTTTAAAGAAATTGCTAAACTTTTCTGAAGTGGCTGTACCATTTTACAGTCCGATGAGCAATGAATGGTGGCTCCAGTGTCTTCACATCCTCAAGAACACATATTGCTTGTCTTTTTTATTATAGCCATCCTAATGGTTATGTAGTAGTATCTCATGGTGGTTTTAATTTGTATTTCCCTAATGACTAATTGTGTTGAGCTAGTTTTCAGGTGCTTATTATAATTTGTGAATATCTTTGATGAAATATCTATTCATATCCTTTGCTCATTTTTTCATGAATTATTTTTCTTATTACTGAGTTTTGAGAGTTTTTAATATATTTTGGAGACAAGTTCTATTTTTTTTTGACCAGTAAGCGGATCGCAACCCTCAGCACGGTGTGGTCTGCACCACGCTCAGCCAGTGAGTGCACCTGCCATCCCTATACAGGATCCGAACCCACGGGTGTCGGTGCTACCAGCACTGCACTCTCCCGAGTGAGCCACGGGGCCAGCCCTGGAGACAAGTTCTTTATCAGTTATATGATTTGCAGATATTTTCTCCTAGCCTGACTTGTCTTTTCATTTTCTTTTCAGGAGCAAAAATATTTAATTTTGGTAAAGTCCTCTTTATGAAGTTTTTTTAATGGATTATGTTCAGTTAAGTAATTAAAAAAAATTTATTTCTGGTAGATGATAGATTTACAGAATTCCAAAATCAAAACATATATAAAGAAATTCAATGAAAAGTCTGTCTCCCAACTCCAGTCCACCAAACTCTAACCCAGTTGCCCTTTCTAGAGACAACCAATGTTTCCATTTTCCAATATATCTGCAGAGATAGTTAAGTAAATTTTTTATTTTTGAATTCAGGTTACAGAGATCTTGACTGGGGAAAATTCTCAGTTGAGGTACTTTTGGTGATACCAGGAGGAGGCCTCTAACACTATAATATCTTTTCTTTTGTCACCTTGTATTGGAAAATAACTGTCATTTAAAAATCTATGGAGGGTATTGAAAATATCAAGTCACTGTTTAAGTAAAGAACTGTTTAGTGTCTGATTTAGCACACCTGTAGTATTGTCAGAGGTAAAGCATTTTAACATACCTGCACTCAACTTAAGTTGAAAGCGAAAGACTTTGGGTGTGTATGGATAAGAACCAGCTGTCATCACATGATAAAAAGAGAAAGTACCTCATATAAGTTATGTGGCACCATTGTCTATTACTCCCTACAACAGGTGATTCAGGCATGAAGGAATTTTTAATTTCATCATATGAAAGTAGAATGTACTAATATTTATAAAGACGTGCTTTAGGTCATTGTTCTAGTGAAGTAACTAATGATGAGCTACTTTGTGTGTTTCTTTTTTGTTTTGTTTTGTAAGTGGTTAGAGGAGTTAGCCAAGTTAGAGGTAACAGGAAATAACCAAAGGTGAGCTCAGGTAAATTGTTCTTGTGGTTTCAGCTATAGTTAAAATGACTCAGAGGTCTAAGCTTCTGTACTGGTCCTGAAGTGAAGTATTTCTTTCTTTGTTCATTAAAAACAACATGCACAAAAATATCCACAAAAATATTAAAAACCATAACATAACTTTTTTACTTTAGCGACTACAAAACACCTTTAAGCTTTGCCCAATCATATTTCATTTCCCAATCTTCTAATGTAATGTATAACAACCTGGTAAGCTAGGCTTTTATAAATTTATTTCACTTTTATAAAATTTCAAGATCCTGTGAGTCAATCCTCTAAGAGTTGGTTTGTTTTTATCCTGAATTCCTGTTTGATACTGTAAATGAAGCACATGGGTAGGGTAGGGAAAGGCTTACATCCCATGGCAAATTAGTAAATGTTTCCTGCATTTCCCACCAGCAAGTAGAATCCTGTAGCCACTTGCCTTCTCCCATTTCCATTTCCACCCTGCTTCCTGAGAATTTCCCATTTACCACTTAACTTCTGGGTTCCATTTGATGTAGGTTTCATTATTCATCAGTCGTTCTCTTTGCATTTATACTGTCTTCTGGCACTGGGGGTACTAAGATGTGTAAGACATAGTTCCTGCTTTTAAGAAACTTCTGATCCAGTTGGAGTGGACAGAAAATGTACAGTTGTGGTATATGCAAGAATGAAGATAAGCAAAAAATATTAGGAAGCACCTAGAATTGCTGTCATATACATTCTGGAGGAGAGAATGAAGGCATAAGCTAGATGAGCAGAAATTAGACAAATGAAAAGGAGGGATCAGATCACATCTGCCACTTGCCCACTGTAGAATCTCTCACCAGCTGCCCAGGGGCTTGTTGCTAAGGGTAGTGTGTGGCCTAAAATGTCCCTACTCTGTTTGCTGAGGGAGTAGTCTGGTTTTTGCACTTGTCTCTCATGTATGTGCCTGAAGTTTTCATTAAGGTCAGAAGTTCTGGAAAGGCGCTAAAGAACTAAGTGACTAAGATTGATTTATTATTTGCTTGATTAGTACACTGAAAGATACTGTTAACAAGTTGGGGCTGGGAAATCTGAATAAGGCGTTTCGTAGTCTAAAAATCATATTGCTTTACTTTTAATATGCTTTTAAGAGAAACCACAGTCTAGTTGTCACAAGTAAGAAAAGATGGTGTGTTCACATTTTTTTTTCTCTTTTGCTATATATGATTAGATTGTGTTAATATAGTGAATTATCTGTTTGATGTGATATTTTTTTTTTCCAGACATAAAGGAATTAGGAAAAAGAAACATCTAAATCTCATGCTGTCCAT